CCATTCCCCCAGCCTCCAGTCACTGAACAGCAGGAGGGTGCCACGAGTGGGTTGCTTAGCTGAGGGGCGGAGAGTGAAGGGGGCGCGAGTGAGGGCAATGGGAGGAAGAGCCGGAGGCAGTAGGAGGTCTTGACGGGGTAGGAAACAGGGAAGTGAGGATGACTCATTCCCGCTGCTGCTACTGCTGCTGCTGCTGGCGCTGGCGGCAGCAGCAGCAGTTCTGTCAGTTTCAGGTGAGACTTGAATGAGGGGAGAGCTGGGGAAGGTAGTATCTCCCACTGGAATCGCAAGGAGCGAGCAGCGGGCGAGCAGCGGGTGGCGAGTTTTGTCTGGAGTGAGCGAGCAGATGGGGCTATGAGCAGGGGCGGCAGCGGTGATGGTGGTGAGGATAAGGTGATTGGCTCCAACGGAATTAGACCAGAAGGGCCAGAGGCGCCTCACGTAGTGTACGGCTCGCAGAATGGACGCTTCTCCCGCCCTGATGGGGGGAAAAGGGAAGAAGTGCGGGAAGGGGAGAAAGGAGGGGCAGAAGGAGGGGCGGAAAGGATAAGGTGGTTGGCGCCAATGGAGTGGGACCAGAGGGGCCAGTGACGACTCACGTAGTGCATGGCTCGTAGACTGGATGCTTCTCCCGCCCTGACAGCGGGGAGAAGGTAGCGAGGGGACCAGAAGGGAGAGTGGTAAGGGAGTGGCATGGGATACTGGGGCAGCACTGGTAATCAGGAAGAATTGAGCAGCATATGGCTTGGCCGTGCGGTAGGGACCTCTCATCAGGCAGGTAAAAAGCGGCAGAGCAAAGGAGAGGTAGGGGAGTGACGAGACGCACCAGGGGAGCACTGGGATGAGGAAGAAGTGGGCAGCATAAGGGTCTGCAGTGCGGTAGGGGCTCCTCAGTAACCGCTCCAGGAACAGCACTGCCTCTGCGCCCTCCGCTCCCCTCTCCCACTCCTCTACACCCACCCCTCCTCCGTGAATCCGAGGAGAATGAGAGGATGCGGAAAAGGAGGAGAGGAAGGGAGAGGAGGAGGGTGTGCCGAGCAGCAGGGACCAGGAGGTAACGTGGGGGGGAAGGTCGTAGATGTAGATGAGAGGTGAGGAGGCAGGGGCGGGGGTGGGGAGAGAGAGACCTTCCGGCCAGGAGAACGGGGGCGCAGACACGATGCTGAAAGAGGGGAGGGGGTGGGGGAAGAGCGGGGGGGTTGGGGAAAGGTGGAAGTGAGTCCGGGAAGGTGATGGTGGCAGTTCCTGGTGTGCTGTTATGAAGCAAAACTGGAAGAAAGGAGATACTCACCCAGGCAAGCACACACACCCACACAATCACGCTCCCCACCCTCTCACCGCGTGCTGTCCCTGGGCCCTGCTTTGGAGAGCGAGCAGTCAATGCCAAAGTGCCCCGGGTTGCAGATGCAGAAGCCATGCACACACACCCCGCGAGCGTGGCACTCGTTGAGACACGTGAACGGCAGCAGAGGGGGTAGACGGGAGCACGAGGGGCCGTAGAGCATTGGGGGACACCTGAAGGGCGTTGAGAGAGTGCGGAGGGTTTTGAGGTGGGGGACACGGAGGCAGGAGAGGAGGGGTTCGATGGGTTGAAGCTGCACAGGCGGCGTGCTTCTCTTGCTCCCGCTTCCCCTTGTTGCGGATGCAGAACACCAATCCCAGGGTAGTCACTTCTCTTGCTGGGACCGAGAAATGGAGGAGTTTCAATGTACCACTCACACATGCACTAGTTGGCCTTCACACAGAGAATAAGGTCACAAACCCCTCGTTGCACCCAGTCACAAGCACTGCTCGCCCTCCCACACTGCATCACACATGCATTAGTTGCCCTAACTAACAACATACACTCACTTACACACCCGTCGTTGCACCCACTCACATGCACTGCTTGGTGCTTGCAAGGCACACGCCCACCCCAGAGCAGTTGCCCGGGCATTCAGAAGGCAGCAGGAGAGACTGCAACAGAGGGAGAGGGCTAGAAGAAGCACCAGCACCAGCACCAGCACCAGCACCAGCACCAGCACCAGCACCGTTGCTCTGTCGCCCTTTCATTCCCTCTCCCACTCTCTCACGGGCTGCTGTCTCACCGCCCGCGCCATCCGTTGCCATCCGCACCACGGGCTTCTCCAGCAGAGAGGACAAGCCCTGCCACCCAGCCCGCTGCCACGCAGGTTGGGTCAAAGCAGGGTCCTCTGTCTCGTCCTCTCCCTGACTCCCTTCCTCCTTTCCCTCTGCTCCAGCTGCACTTCCTGCTCCCGACCCTCTTCCCACCTCCTCATCTGCACTATCCTGCCCCCGACCCTCTTCTCCCCCACCCTCTTGCCCCTCACTCTCATCCAGGCACAGAGGAAAGGGAGGAACGCCCGCCCTCTCACACTCCAGCGCACACTCACACGACGACAGAACCCCGCACGGCGTCCAATACCCAGGTGCCACGTGGCAGGAGGGCATGGCAAGATCTGAACAGTCGTCCCCTGTGAGACCGGGCGGGCAGTCGCAGCGTTTGAGCTCCTCGTTGCATGTGCCGTGCGTGTAGCAGGCCTCGTTACAAGCACCACCCGATACACTCTGTGCTGCTGCCGATGACAGTGACTCAGGCTGCTGCTGTTGCCGCTGCTGCTGCTCCAACTTCGTTACTGCTGCTCCTGCTGCTCCTGCTGATTCTGCTGACCCTGCTACTTCTGCTCCTGCTCCTGCTGCTGCAGCATTGAAACCTGTATCCTCTCCCCGGCCCCCTCCCTTCCCCTCCACCCTCCTCCTCAGCGCACCCATCACCGTCGCAAAAACATCCCCCTTTTCCAACCGCGCTGCCATCTCATCCTGTAACCGCCTCGGCAGGAATCCAAAGGGGTTCAGCTGGGTACTAGACCACACAAACTTGACCCACTGGTCCAGCATCGCGCGGCGCTTCGCACGGCGCTCAGAGTCAGGAATGGAGGAGAGGATGCGGGGCAGGTGGGGAATATCAGCCTTTGTGAGAAGCACGGCGAGACGGGACCAGTCCGTGCCGTCGCCCTCAAACGGTTGAACCACATGCGGCTGGATAATCACGGGGATGCACCCCAGCATGAGCGCCTGCGTGGTGCGCATAGCCCACCCCCACCCGGACGGCGCGAGGCAGAACACAGCGCGCTGCATCTCCACCAAATACCCGTGCGGCACCCCTTCCGTGCTCTCCAGAAGAATGCCTGTTTCATTGAACCGCCCTGCGAACAGCTTGAACGCCTCTTGCCGCACGCCGAAGCTCCAGTGGTACGGCCCGTGCGGCGATGCCTTGTCCGCCGACCAGCCTTTGAAGTAGAGGAGGGTCGTGCGGTTGGCACCGGAAAGCACGGCTTCTAGCGAGCTCTTCTCTTCTTCCGCTTCGTCTTGTGCTCCTACCTCTGCTTCCGTTTCCGATTCTGCTTCCTTTCCTTCCACCTTCTCCCTCACCCTCGCTTGCCTCCTCCTCCGCCGCAGTTCCCGCTTCACCATCTCTTTCACGTCAACCACATAGCGGTACACATCAGGGGTCATCATGGGAGGAATCGCCACATCTTGCCCCGGCTTAAAGCACCCGTTCGGTGCATCCTCCAGGTTCATATTCTGCGTCAGCCCCCAGAGAGTGATTGTAATGCTACGTGACAACAACGGATCCCTCTCCCCCTGCACTGAAATCTCGCAGTTCCCCCAGTCATCGTTCGTCACAAACAAGTGGTCAGACCCATTACTCCTGTCCCAAAACGGCCACGTGGAGCGAAGGTACGACACCGCCCACTCCAGAGCATTGGCCTTCATGAGGCGATTGCGCAGCATGAGAGGCACGTAGAAGAAATCGGCTTGTGCAGGGTCTGGCGTGCGGTGGGGGGAGCGCAGGAGGCGTTCTAGGAAGTAGACAGGCTCTCGCCAGTCCATGAAGCTGGTTTGGGTGAACTGCCACGTGTTGAAGTGCGGGGGCAGGTCGTAGATGTAGATGAGGGGGCGGAGGGGGGAGGCGGAGGGGGAAGGGGGAGGTGGTGGTACTGCTGTGGACCAGAGGAAAGGCTGTAAGCGCAGTATTCTGATGGGAGGTTGTGTGGGGATAGGGGATGGGAGGGGAGAAGGGAGAGGGAAGGAGAGAGTGAAGGAAGAGTGGAGCGGAAGTTTGGAATGAGGAGAGAGTAGAGGGAAGAAGGGAGGGAGGAGGGGGAGGAGGGGAAGGAGGGGAAGGAGGGCGGAGGAATGGAAGCGGGTGCGCAGAGGAATTAATTTCTCATTTGCTGGAGGCGGTGCATGGGCTAGCAAATGAGAAATTACGAGCATCGATGAACACTGAGCAGTCAAGGCCCAAGAAGCCCCTGTCGCACACACACACCCCTCGTCGGTCACACACACACACACATGTCTGCTGCAGCGGGTTTCAATCCCCCCCTCCCGCACCCCCCCTTACTCCCTGGCAGTACCTGGTAACCCCCTGGGCATCAATGAACATGGAGCAGTCAAGGCCGAAGAACCCCCGCTGGCACACACACACCCCACGCCTGCACTCGCCCTGCCCGCTGCAGCCGTTAAAGCACTCAAATGGGATGTCCCCCCGCACCTCACATGCCCGCCCATGGTCGTACCACGCACACCTGGAACATAGGGTGAGGAGCAGAAAAAAGTGGGGGGGGGGGGGGGGGAGGGGATGAGGGGAAAGTGGGGGTAAGGGAAGTTTAAGGGTGGGAGTAATGGGGAGAACAGGAGGGAGAGGAAGATACACAGTGAACAAATGCTAGCTGGAGCCGTTGAAGCAGCCAATAGGGATGTCAGAGAAGAGAGAGTGCAACAGAGAACAACGATTGCAGAAGAAGATACATTCACACTTGCATATGCGCATGAGCGTGAATTTATGCATGTATAGGCATGGGCACAGGTATGGGCATGAGAAAGGATATGTGTATAGGCAAGGACATGCCCCATGCACCCGCACACCCTCTCACCCCACACATCCCCTCACTCACACATCCCCTCACCCCACACCCCTTTTCACCGCACTACACTCACGTGCACACCTTGGACTCCTTCTGACACGCCCCCCGTCCCGAGCACATGCTCTCACACTCCTCCGGACCAGCCCACGGGCTGGGCCCATCACTCACCACCGCTCTCCGCCCCTTCCCATCCTTCCCCACCCCCGCCGCTGCATCCCGAAACTGCGCATCCAGCTGCACAGCATATCTTGTCCCAGAGAAAATGGCCGAGAGGTTCGTCTCAGGGGTTCCGTCCGGCCGATTCCCCTCAAAGCACTCGAAAAAACCCAGCAAGCGCCACCGCGCACAGGCAGCAGCGCAGGCGCACGTGCTGATCACAGAGCACGGGGTAGCGTATGCAACTCCCGTCCCTGTGCTGTCCTTGCTCTCCCCCAAGTGGCATTCCGGCATGGCAATAGTTTCGCATGTGGGGCCGGTGAATCCAGGGGGGCAGTCGCAGCGGCCTAGCTCCTCGTTGCATGTGCCGTGCGCTGTGCACGCCTCGGGGCATTTGGATGGGCGGGAGAGGTCCGGGCCTGGCCCGTCGTATGCCTGTGCTGCTTGGATGCGCTGCTGCTGCTCTTCCTGGGTCTCTTTTGTGGGAGTTTCCTCCACTGAACCGTCTGAAGCGAAGCTAAGAGGGGCAAGAGCGTCTGAGTCTGGAGGGGGTTCCAAAGGTCCAGCAGTAGTAGTAGCAGCAGCACCACCACCACCACCATCAGCCGCATCACTGCCACCATCCGCAGCAGCAGAATCAGCACCATCAGCATCACTAGCACCATCAGAAACATTGTCGGCAGCACCATCGGCATCAGGAGAACCATCAGCATTATCAGCATTATCAGCAGCACCGTCAGCACCAGCAGCACCATCAGCACCAACAGCACCATCAGCATCATCATCAGCAGCAGGAGCATCAGCAGCAATAAAACCATCAGCATCAGCAGCATCAGAATCGAGATGTTCCTCGGTCCTGTCCCTCTCTGCAACACCTTCTAGCCCATCCCCCTTCATCCCTTCTCCAACTTCCCCCTCTCCCGCCCCTTCTTCTCCCCTTTCTTCTTCCCCCTCCTCTTCCCCCTCCTCTCCCTCCTCCTCCCCCCACTCTTCTCCTCCCTCCTCTCTGCCCTCCCCTCCCATCTCCACTCCCCTCTCCTCTCCCCCTTCCCCCTCCATCCTCCCTCTCAGCACATGCATCACAGAACTAAACACATCGCCTTCAGCCAGCGTCAACCCTGCTCTCTGATACGCCCGTGACACAGCCAGACTCGAAGGCAGCGGGTTGAACTGCGAACTCGCCCACACCAGCTTCGGCCACGCCTCTCGCAACCCCCGCTGCATCGCAGCAACGGCTTGCGGGGAGAGGGAGGAGAGGAGAACCGGGAGATCCGGGAGGTTTGCAAGAGAGACGCGGAGGGAGAACGCGGTCCAGTTGAGCCCGTGAGGGTTGTCGAGAGGGAGGAGAGAGTGTGATTGGACCACCACGGGAATGCACCCGGCTAGCACGCTCGCTACAGCCGATGAATACCGGCCATGGGTGGCTGTGGTGAGGCAGAAGGTTGCGTTGAGCAAGTCGGATACCCGCACCTTGGCTGATTCCCGCACCTCTATTTGCCACTTGAGCTCAGCTGCTCGCGATTCAAAGAGCTCCAAAAAGCGTTTTCCCACGGAGGAACCCAGACCCGTGTGATTCTGCTGCTGCTGGTCTGAAGCAGCAAAGCAGGCGAAAAGAATTGTCGGGCGAGGGGGCAAGACAGAGAAATTGTCAACACTGCCGCTGCTGTCTCCATCGCTGCCGTTGCTACTGTCAGCAGGGGAGACTTCCTCTCTCATTAATTCCAAGAATGGAATCGCATGGTAATCCTTCAACCGCAGCACAGGCGGTATCACCACGTCCCGCCCCCGCTGAAAGCACGGCAGCTGTGGCAGCGGCGCTGAATTTGATGAGTCTTGATTCTGCTGCTCCGTTGCCTCCCCTTGACCGCGGGATGAGGGGGGAGCGAGCGAGCGGGTGTAACCGCACGTGGAGAGTACGATACTGCGTGAGAGGAGGGGTTCGGTGGACGCGGAATCCTCGATAGTGCAGCGAGAGAGGGGGGCGGGGAGGAGGAAGATGTGATGAGAGCCGTTGCGGCGGTCCCAGTAGGGCCATGTGGTGCGGATGTAGGTGATTGTGGATGCTAGGAGGCTGACATCGAGTGCCTTGTCATTGCTGCGGGAGGTGGGGAGGTGGGGTTGGGTTGGGGAGGGGGGTGGGAGAAAGGGAGCGGGAGGTGGTTCAGGGTTTGGGGTTTAAGGGGGGTTAGCAGTGGGCAAGCAAGGAGGCTCAGGGAGACAGGCTCAGGTGTACAGGGTGCATGGTGCGAAACTGTGACAAGATGATGGATGGCTGGAGAAACCGGAGGGAGATTCAGGGGCACGCAGCAAGGGCACGGGCAAGCCAGGAACAGAAAGGCAAGGCAGGGAAATCAAAGCGGGGGCAGAGGGAGCATGGGGTGGGTACGCAAGGGAAAGGCATGGGAAGCACGGGAAGCAAGGGAGGCAGGGGATACAAGCACACCCACCGGAAGAAGAGTGGCACGTAGAACAAGTCTGCGGTATCAGGGGTTGCAGAGCGGTGCCCGCTGTTTAGCAGGCGTTCGAGGAAGAGCAGTGGCTCGATGTGAGGGGAGCGTGGGGAGAGGCGCAGGGGCCATGTGGTGGAGGGCGAGGGCAGGTCGTATACGTAGATGAGCGGACGGGATGCGGCGATCAGCGCGAGCGAAGGGGGAGGTATGTGGTGCGCCCAGCGGAACGGGGGGAAGAGGAGGTTCCTGGAAGGGGAGAGGGAGGGAAGTGGGGAGGGAGGGGGAGGGAGAAGGAGTGGACATGACATGATGTAAAATGAGTACCAGGGGGAACAACAACCAGCACAGAGAGAAGCAGCAGCAGCATTAACAGCTGCTGCACCAGAAGCAGCAACACCAAAACTGCTAATATGCTTGAAGTCTACATGTGCTGTGAACGAGACTCAATGCAGCACTAACACCCACGTGCCTGATTCCGCCCATGGTGCCAACAAACAGCGAGCAGTCAACTCCAAACGTCCAGTACTGGCAGCGGCACGTGCCCTCCACGCACTCCCCTCGCCCACTGCACGCGTTCACACACCCCACACCCTCCGCCACTGCCTCACATGCCTTCCCTGTACGGAACCAGGGGCACCTGTATGGGGAACAGTGTGGCAGGAGGGGGGAAGGAGAGACGGGAAGGGGAGCAGGAGGGTGAGAGATGGGAGGTTAGGGAGAAGTGAGTAGAGGCTCGAGCCTTGAGGCTTGTGGGAGGTGGCGCGGGTAGGAGCAGGTGGCGAAACCAGAGCAGCAGAGGTCACAGGTCCCAACGAAGGCACGAGAAGCAGTGTGGATGAAAGAGAAGGCCCCTGGTGGTAGGTATGTATGTATAAATACCTGCAGCCATCAGAGTAGCAGGTGCCGACACCAGAGCACCGCTCAGGACACTCCCCAGGTGGTCTCAGGTGCTCCCCTCCCTCCAACTCCCCTTTCCCCACCCTCTCCCTCCCCGTCTCCTCGCCTGACCCGCTGGCAGTCACCCTGTACCACTCCCATCCCGCTATCCCTCCACCCCCCAGTTCTGCTGCTGCTGGTGCTGAGTCGAGACACGTGGCGGGGTGTGGTAGGTGGTGTTTGTCGCAGTCTAGCAGACAGGCGCAGGAAGAGTGGACGAAACACGGCGACATGGCAACCACACCACCACCGTTCCCCTCATCCGCCTTCTCTCCCGCGTCCTCATTTCCTGGAATCTTCGTGCACCCAGGCATTACCAGCTCTGTGCAGTGCTCACCCCCATATCCGGGCATGCACCTACATGCACCGATTTCCTCGTTACAGGTGCCTCGATTGTGGCAATCGTCGCTGCATTTAGACCCCGCCCAGACCACCGCCAGCGGCGGCGGTTCGAAAGTCGGCGCCACCAGCGGCACAATGCGCGGGATCATTGTCCAGGTGGGCAAGACAGGGGCAACGGGGACGCCGCCGCCGCCGACGCTGCCACTGTCGCGCGCGGATTCTGAGGGGGAGTCTTTCGCTAGCACTGGCGCAAGCTGCGGGGCGGCGGGGGGATCGGAGATCGGCGGAGCGGCGGGAGCTGGTCGCTGGGGAAACAGAGCTTTGAGCGGTGACGTGGCAGCACGGGATTGGAAGAAAGTAAGCAGGAGAAGCTCCAGCGAGACGGCGAGGAGCACGAGCAGCACCGCGGCGATCGCGCGGAACACGAGGCTATGGGGTAGGAAAGAACAAAGGCCGCCAGGGAAGGGGAACGCGGACGCGGATCCGCCGCCAGCCGGCGGTGTTTTGCTACGTGGCACGTGGTAGTTGGCGGGGGTGAAAAGAGCCAGCTTTGCATTCGTGCCTGGCCGCTGCGCACCGAGAGAGCGCGTTGGCAGCGCCAACGATCCCATTGTCAAAGACAAGCCTTGAGGCTTCTCGAGATTCGAGCACTGCGCGCGTTGGAAACAGTCACATTAGCGGAAACGGAGAGAGGAGGAGGAGGAGGAAGAAAAGGAGGAGGAACAGGAGGAAGGCGAGTCGGAGGCACCGTGGCGCCGTGCCATTAGGAGACAATAGCTGCGGTCATGGCCTTGGGATGCAGCTGATGATGACAGGATGCCCCTGGCACAGAGTTCGGTGAATGGGTTGCTATTCCTATGGCGGGAAATGGATCATGGTCATGGATGGATGGAAGCCATAGTTGGTCGGTTGGTGGTGGTACAGTGCAGTACCACTATCCAGGATATTTTGTTCGACACGCGAAAAGAAGTGCTGCTCTGGTGATGGATTGTGCAGGATATTTTCGACTACAAGGCGTGATACACTGCCATGCATGTAATAGTTTAGATACACTAACTATTTATAACACAAAATTCACGTTCTCTATCTCATGAAACCACTTCACACAACCCATAAAGGCCTCGGTGCATGCTTCACTGTTCTTTAACGAGGGAGATCGCTGGCTCGCTCAAATTAGCATGATGGAGGCCAAATTCACCCAAAATTTGGTTTTCAGCAAACGCAAAGGCCCTGCAAAGGAGGACAATTTTAACGTGAGAAACACATACACTGCACACTCGAAGGGATAAAGTAGTTTGAGATGTGTGAGCAGTCAAATGTTTAAAGTTCGCATCTTACCGATGAATGCCCTTGTTGCAAACGTCGGGATCGTAATCAGACGCTTCCCTTGAGCATAGCTTGCAGCCAACAAAATGCACTGTGAACGGCCACTCCCAATTACCCTGTCCGTTGTGCTTCGTGCTTTGAATCTCCTCCAGCCTGTCATTCATGTCAGCATGAACGCCATGGGATGCAGGACAGATACAGGAAGAATGGATGTGATTCACTTCGCAAGCAAAGGAAACTAAGAAAACAAAGACAAAAGAAACGTGTGACTAATCTTACTTGTCAACGAAGGACACCCAGTAACCATGCAGGGTTGTCCGCCAATCGATCTCAATGCGTGGTTGCCATTTGTCCTTGCGAGGAGTCACGCCCTTCTTCTGGCTTTCAGGGGTCTCCCCTTCCCCCAGCAACAGCAGGACCAGAGCCGTCTGATCATCCACTGGCCAATCAGCACGGCCCTGCAAACACACCACTCACAAACAAAACAGAAAAATTAGTCGCAAGGGCAGTCCAGAACCATACACGCTTCCAACCTGTGACACCACCAACCACTTAAGAGTACAAAGTTACGTGGCTCCCTGCAGGGCTTACACGCAACGTTTTGCTGGCAACGTGGCCCCATTGCTTGCGCACTTCCTCACTGCTGCCAAACGTTGACCAGTCATCCAGAAAGTCCAACCCATCCTGCCAGAATCATGAGTATAATGTGAGATATGCAAAGTGTTATCCATGCGAGATGTGACGTGCGTGTTATGTGTGCTACATGACAAACATGTGGCATGTACCATGTGCCATGTCCATACATCAATGCGCAGATGAAGTGCAGGGTGATATGAAAACATGGGGTGGGTTGAAGGAGGGTATGGTGAGCAAATAGCAACATGGTTAATCAACAGTACCCATCAATGGAGAGAAAAGAAAATGATTGTCGCTGAACAAATATCGGGTCGTAGTGAATAGTGCCTGTTTGATCAATCAGGAATGGTTGATGAGACGCGCACCCTTGTAATGAACTTAAATGAACAAAAAGACCAGACTTACAATCCTGAGACTCCCACATCAGCATGTTTGGCTTGGAAAATTACCTGGCTGTTTTTTATGAAAAAAGCTCCAGTGTTAATGGCCACCCTGAAATTTGGTAAGATACAGAGACACGTGCACAGGGCTAAGCGAAAAAGAAGGCAGTGAAAAGATAAATAAATCGTATTGACAGCATATGTGACACTGGACGTATATATTTATGAGAAAACCGGGCGCTTGCTCACACATACCAATCCCTTTGCTTGTAGAGGGTATCCGGAAAGCCAGATAAGACGACGGTGGCAGACGAGTGTTCCTCGATCGGGTACTCAAACGCCATGTCTGCGAACAGAAAAAAACACACCCAAAACCGCGGTGAGTGAAATGTAAACATTGTCTCGACAATGTTACAGAACACAACGGCTTTTCCAATTGAAGCTAGTAAGCGTGCAGAGGAGACAGCGAGTACCATGAACCACACGCACCTGTGATCATGGCGTCAGAATCAATCCAGAAGAACCACTCCACCTCCTTGTACTTGAGCATGAGCATGCGCAGCAGAGGAATCTTCACCCAGAACGCGGGAAAATTCTTGTTCATGGGACCCATGGCATAGAAGATCGGCAGGTCGTGGATACGCGCGTAGTCCTGCTTATTCTTGAGGAATTTGAGAAGCAGAAAGTCGCTCTCTCCGTGCTCCCCGCACGGCTTGCTGTTGGACCCTGACACAATCATCACCCGTGGCTTGCCCTTAGCAGTTCGGTTGCACCCCGGGTTCGCCGCTATGTGTGCTGCTCGCTTTGCGTCCCAGTCTGGTGAGGAGGAAGAGAGGAGGAAGAGAATCGAAAGAAAGAGGCGAATAAGGGGATCAGACAGGACGGGGAGGATCAAGTGACCAAGATGGTAGCAATGAGATTGTCTCTAGAGCATCAGTGGACTCCAAAGTGGATTCCCTCATAAAAATAGGTGGTTTCATCAAGGACAATACAATGCACGGTACACACGGCGATGTTCCTTGCCAGCTTCTCAAAAGCTCCTACTGTGACCGCTAGAGCTTCTCGACCTCCTAACGCTGACTGCAATTTGATCACCTGATATTTTGGGTCGTAGGAGATAGACGCTTTCCGGGAATGACACTGCCGTTTCGTCCTTAGATGCTTTCTTTGCAGCTGCATCTCCAGAAGAATCCGATTGCTCCTTTGAACCATGCTTGTTCTTTCCAGCATCAACTTCGTTTTCTTCCGCCTTGATTTCGCCTTTTGCAGGTGTTCTCGAACTCGCCTCCACCTCGGTCATTATTACATCGGAATCTTCCTTTCTAGGTTTCTCCGGTAAGCCATCCGACGAATCCCCGTCTTCCGAAGCGATGTGAAGTTTCCGCGACCCCGGGGACACTACTGGCTGGGGGTCTGCGTTCGTCTCGATGATTGCAGACGGCGTAAACACGGAGTAGGAGAGAAAGATCGCAGGGAGGAGCACGGATAGCAAAAGCAGCCGCTTCGCGCTTAGCCTTCCTCGATCCATGTTGAGATTCGACACTATGTAGATCCAACCGTGATGGAGTAACGTGTAGATCCTACGGCTGACTCTGTCCTTGTTCCAGCTGGCTGCCGTCGCCACGGGCATGCCTAAACGAGGTTCCCCGAGCCGAACAAGGAATTCCGTCACGGAGGTGGTGGTGATGGGACAAAAAAAGAGCTCACGAGCACAGCGTTGGTTCTGCTGGTGAAGGCACCCATGCTGGCAGCAACACTTCTGCTTGACTTGAAACGTACTGTACGAAAACTCCCGCGCGCACTATAGGCGGCACGCCTTGTCCGCCGATTCGTTTGGCGCGGCAGCAGCACCCGCAGATCCGCGGTTGTCCTCGAGTTCTGCCTTGGGATTGGCCTGCGGCAAACCCAACAGTCTGTGTCAGAAAGTTCATTATTGGAACTCCTACCTTGCCATACAAGGTCTTGACCATGATGCAGATGAAATAGTTTCTATGAAACGCTCACATTTCAGTGCTCTTGGAGATAAATTGTGTCCAACACATTGAATGCAATGCGCCGCACACCTTCAACGAACCGCAATCAAAGTTTAGTTTTGTTCAATGCTATGTTTCCATAGGGGTTCTCCAAGGTTCCATCCATGGCACGCGTTGGATAGTAAATAAAGCATAAACGCATGAACTCGCAAGGTCCATGCCTCCTAACCAAGCATCAAAGGAAGTCAATTGGAATCCTTAGTTGGTCAGGATGGCATCATTGACACAGTGGCCTACGTCTCACGCGGATAGAGCACTAGTGCTGATTCCTTGCATGAATAGGATATTCCAACTTCACACTTCCATTCCATGCATGGTACCGTATTACAAATCTGATGCACCATACATACGGACAGACAGCAAATACCGGTATATGTACTCTTTTTAATGCCACTGACTTTGGCGCGTTTCTGCATGGATCACTGTCCTTGGATAAGGGTGATCGCTGGTTCACTAAAATTCGCATGGTGGAGGCCAAACTCACGCAAAACTTGATTTTCAGCAAAAGCAAAGGCCCTGGAAAAGACACAAGCTGAGAGTGGATAACACACACGTAGCGCACGGGAAGAAACAAAACAGGAATTAAAGAGCAATCTAAACTCCGCAAATCTGCATCTCACCGATGAATGCCCTTGTTGCAAGTGTCCGGGTCATAACTAGACGCTTCCCTTGAGCATAGCTTGCAGCCAACAAAATGCACTGTGAACGGCCAGTCCCAGTTACCCTGTCCGTTGTGCTTCGTGCTTTGAATCTCCTCTAGCCTGTCATTCATGTCAGCATGAACACCATGGGGTACGCGAGATTGGGAGAATACGGAAAGGATGTTGCAATTCACATTCACTTATAAAGCAAGGAAAACAAAGAAACACTAATAAGTGAAGCTTGCGGTAAATCTTACTTGTCAACAAAGGACACCCAATAACCATGCAAGGTTGTCTGCCAGTCAAGCTTAATGCGCGGAAGCCATTTGTCCTTGAGAGGCATCAAACCCTTCTTCTGGCTTTCAGGGGTCTCCCCCTCCCCCAGCAGCAGCAGCACCAGAGCTGTCTGATCATCCACTGCCCAATCAGAACGGCCCTGCAAACACACCACTCACAAACAAAACAGAACAAAAAAACACTAGAAGCAACAGTGAGTTTAGCACGGCATTGATCGCAACAGCAGACCAGGACCATACACGTTTCCACTGTCTGTGACATCGTCACCTAATTAAAAGTCCAAATTGAAATGTGCCTCCCTGTGGGGCTTACACGCAACGTTTTGCTGGCAACGTGGCCCCATTGCAAGCGCACTGCCTCACTGCTTCCAAACGTTGACCAGTCATCCAGAAAGTCCAACCCATCCTGCCAGTACCATGAGCATGTCCATACATGCAATGCACAGATGTCGTGGTGATGAGAAAACATGAAGGTGGGTTGAAAGTGGTGTGAGGTATGGTGAGGAAATAGCTAGATGGTTGACCAACATTGCATGTTTGAATATGTTGTTGGTCTTGAAACTGACATCAACAAGCGAGCAATTGTGATATTGAATAGTGCTTGTTTTATTAATCATTAATGGTTGATAAAAAGCGCACCAGTGTAATGAATATAAATACGAAAGCAAAAATCTTGAAACTCACAGATCAGCATCTTTGGCATGGAAAAATTACCTGGGAGTTTTTTATGAAAAAGGCTCCAGTGTTGATGGCCACCCTGCAAATCAGTAAGATATAGACACACGTGCGAAGGTTAACCAGAACACAGAATGTGCAAAAAACATAGGCCATTGGCAGCATAGGAGACACTGAACACATATACTGATGAGAGAGCAAAGAAGGCCGCTTGCTCCCACTTACCAGTCCCTTTGCTTGAAAAGTGTATCTGGGAAGCCAGATAGGACGACGGTGGAAGACGAGTGCTCCTCTATCGGATACTCAAATGCCATGTCTGCAAGGAGGAGGAGGAGGAGGAGGAGGAGGAGGAGGAGGAGGAGGAGGAGGAGGAGGAGGAGGAGGAGGAGGAGGAGGAGGAGGAGGAGGAGGAGGAGGAGGAGGAGAGAAGAAGAAGAAGAAGAAGAAGAAGATGGCGGTGAGTAAAGATATAATCTCAACAACAAACACAAATGCATTCCCTTTAAGGTTAATAGAGGAGAAAGCGCACAGGTTAATAGAGGAGAAAGCGCACAACATGAACCACACGCACCTGTGATCATGGCGTCTGAATCAATCCAGAAGAACCACTCCACCTCTGGGTACCTGAGCATGAGCATGCGCAGCAGAGGAATCTTCACCCAAAACCCGGGAAAATCCTTGTTCATGGCACCCATGCCATAGAATATCGGCAGGTCGTGGATACGCGCGTAGTCCTGCTTATTCTTGAGGAATTTGAGAAGCAGAAAGTCGCTCTCTCCGTGCTCCCCGCACGGCTTGCTGTTGGACCCTGTCACAATCATCACCCGTGGCTTGCCCTTTGACGTCCGGTTGCACCCCGGGTTCGCCGCTATGTGTGCTGCTCGCTTTGCATCCCAGTCTGGTCAGGAGGACGAGAGGAGGAAGAGAATTAAAAATAGATGGTGGCAGCAAGCTTCTTTCTAGAGCATCGATTAACCTCAAGAAAATAACTTCCAAGTCGGACATTTAAGAAAAAACCCAGTGTATTAAGCAAGAAGACGTTTACAATCCAGTACACATGGTGATGCTCCCTACCAGCTTCTTAAAAGCTCTCCATACTCTGAGCGCTAGAGCTCAAGTCTTTAGACCTCCTAACGCTGACAGCGATTGATCACCTGATACTTTGGGTCGTAGAAGGTAGACGCTTTCTGGCACTGACACTGTTGCATCTCGTGAAGAATTTGAATGGTCCTTGAATCCATGCTTGCTCTCCCCAGCATCATTTTCTCTCTCCGAAACTTCCGCCTTCCTGTCGCCTTTTGCAGATGTCTTCTTTCCGTCTCCTCCGGAATCTGTGCTCGGACTCCCCTCAGCATCGGTCATTAATAAAACGGAATCTTCCTTTCTAGGTTTCTCGGCTAAGCCATCCAACAAATCCCCGTCTTCCGAAGCGATGTGAAGTTTCCGCGAACCCGGGGACACTACTGGCTGGGGGTCTGCGTTCGTCTCGATGCTTGGTGACGGCGTAAACATGGAGTAGGAGAGAAAGATCGCAGGGAGAAGCACGGATAGTACAAGCAGCCGCTTGGCGCTTAACCTTCCTCGATCCATGTTGAGATTCTACACTATGTAGATCCATCCGTGAATAGGACAATATGTAGAACATCCTGTGGTCGACTCTGTCCTTGTTACGGGTGGCTGCCGTCGCTGGGCGCATGCCTGAACGACGCTCTGTGAGTGAACCAGGAAATCTCACTCGCGCGGCGGTGGTGGTGCTGCTGGTGAAAGCACTGGTGCCGCCAGCAGCGGTGCTTGAGCAGTCCCTTGAATTTTCCCGGTATGTGACTCGATTGTTCCTAGCGCGAGTTCGTTGCGGGGGAGTGTTCAAATTTTCGACGACGGGCACCACCCCATCCAGCTGCATTCAGATGAACTGTGACTATACGGTGTGTCGTGGGTTCGTTAAAAGCCGGCGTTTCGCTCTACAAACTGTCTAGTTCTTACACCCGAAACTACTCCAGCGAGTGGGTGTAGTAGCAGCACCGCTGCTCGACTTAATTAATATGTACGAACGGAGTGGCGCACAAGCACACTACAGTATCCGTTCGGCACGGCCTTGTTTCTCTGATCCGTTCGGCGCGGTCGCGCTACTGTACCGTACCAGATCGGCGGTTGTCTTTGCGTTCTGCCTTGGGATTGGCTTGCGGAAACCCCAAGTGAATCAGTTCATATGAATAAGTAGCGCCGTCTGGCGGGGTGGCACACGAAACCGAAACCCTTCACGCGAGCTGGCGACGGATGGGCAACCCGGAACCGAGCTCCCCACCGCAGCATCCCCATGGCGGGAAGCAGGCTGACGCAGCTCAGCACTCAGCCGGCTAGTAGGCGAGTCGCCTAAAGCGACCTCCTGCCTAAACCATCCTCAGCTACTCGGCTTGGCGCGTGTGATCAAAGTTCGAACTTCCCAAAGTTCGAACTTTTAGAAAGGTTCTACACGGTAGGATACAATTGAGCGATGTCTCTCCACGATGCAAAGCGGTTTGAGTTCGAACTTTGACAAAAATCCTTGGATCACACGCGCCCTTATGTCTTCTTGGGATTGTCTTGGGGCAAGGCCAAACGGTGTGTCAGAAACTCTAAAGCTGGGGATGTTGTACAATCTACACTCAAACACGGTTTCCAGTGATATTATAATGTTAGGGACAAAACATATTGACATCGCATTCTTATTGGAGGTTGAAGATTAAGTATGATGCTGGGACACAAACATGTTTTTCTCCTACAGTTCCAGAGCAGGACCTAGCATTATATTCATAGAAATTTGAAATAGCTGTGGTCGTAACTCCGCTGTAAAAGCGATAAGCAGCTGAACATGCCATTGTTGGTGAGACTGGCTTGACCCTCCCCTTCTTGCAGAAGCCCAATCTGAATGACCAATAATCTGCCCTAAGACAAACCTGGGATAGAAAGATGCCCAAGTGCATGAAAAGGATTAGGAAGTAGGAGAAACCCAAACAAGACAATGCCTCACCAGGAGTGAAGATAATAAATGTTCGATGATAAAAAAAAAGAGAGAGAAAGAAAGAAATAAAAAATCATGGCAGTGCGGCAAAAAGAGTGTGCTTTCCCCCAGGTGCGCACTGTCAGCAGACAGAGCACAACCATCCTTGTCCACATCAGCTGTTCTCTTCTGTTTCCTCCCTCTCCCTTGCCTCTGTCCCGCCCCTCCCCAATCACAAGACCTCACCTGCACGCCAATCTTGCTGCCAACAACAGAGGCAGAGGCAGGGATGTTGTCGGAGCAAGTCAGGCCGGGGTTGTTGCGGTAGAGCTCGGTCCAGTGCTCTGCGCTCAGGTTAGGCTCGTTCACAGTCCTCTGGAGCAGGCGCTCGCACGTGTCTTGCGGCGTGAGCATGCCGTGCTTCACACACTCAGGGACAGTGAAGGCGAATGCGGCGTTGCGCTCGATGCACACGGAACGGCCCGCCTTGATGGGCGTGGAGCAGTCAAGCCCGGGGTTGAGCGCAGACAGGGAGGCTTCATCCAAGTTGGTCTGATCCGCAATGGTTGAACAGAGGTCTCCCTGGAGCATGGTGTGTGCATGGTTGAACATGGTGGGGAACAGAGAGGTAGGCTGCATGTGCTGGTTACACATACATAGCGCACTGGGCATTGGGAATGTCACGTAGCATTGGATCTAGCGTGGGATGGCACTAATTGGGACGACTTGGTGTGCATGGTATGGCTGGTGGGATCCAACTGGAATCGCATCACATGGAGAGGGAGAAGAAAAGGCACTTGAGGCGCATCAAAAGCTGGTGCAATCCCGAGGGCATGGTATGGCATCTCACATGGAGGGTGTAGAAGAAGGCAGTGCAGGGTGTGGTGGGCGTGGCAGCCAATTGGAGGACGGTGCCCTTGGGCAATGGCGCGCTGCAGTCCACTGCCTGCAGTTGTTGTGATGTGACGCACATGTGAGGAAAAGGGGCATGGTGAGAGAAGGTCTTACCGCACCTTGCATGGGCGTGAGGTATACAAAGCTTCGTACACAATTCCAATGCAATGCGAACATAACATGGAGCAACAAGAATGCATGAGACCAAGTGAAGTGTCTCAGACATGGAGCAGTAAAGCATGGGAGATTGATGAAAGTGCGGTGATATGTAGAAGGCCAGTTGGAGCAGGGGGGAAAAAAAGCGAATGGAATGACGGCGAGCCTTCTAATCCCATTCATTTACCCAGCCCTTACCGCATTTTGGAGTGTGAAATCAGCCAGTGAGAGGCCGACAAGGGGATAGATATCTGAGCACCACCAGTTGACTCCGCTGACTGTCATGCTGGTGGCTGTGGTGTTGACTGGAAAGCACGTAGAGAGATAGTGAAGCAGGGAGATGGAGACGTCACGTAAAGGAGGCAAGTATGGAGATTGTGCATATTCAGGTTACACCAACTCTCAAAAATTGTGGTATGACATACAGTACAGACTTGGGATGAAAACAAAAGGAGATTGAGAACAGGAGAAACGCACACTGCCAAACAATAGAGCAACTTTTTACCTGGGTCGCAGGTGGGGGTGTCATAGACAGTGGTGCTTTCAACGTGGTTGGGAGGGCAGATGCAGGAGTAGGAGCCTCTGCCGTCGTTAATGCATGTGCCCACGTAGCAGGGGTTCTTGAAGTACGACCCACACACGTCCACTGATGGTGCCATGGCATTGGGGTGGTCATGGATAGATAGCATCGGGGATGGGACATAGAGGAGAAGATTAAGGAAAATGGGGCCACAAGTGTGGGGTTCCAATGCTCCCTCGCCTCCCCTACCACCTCCGCTCCTTCCGACTCTCACTAGTATGAACTGAACCTGCCGGTGCTGCAGCCACAGCAGGTGCTGCGCGGCAGTGCTGTTGCAACCTAGCACACCAGTACCCAGTACCCGGTAGAACCTTCCAGCTCACCATAAGCACACGTGCTGGCGCCATTCCCGTTGTCAGCCTCAACAAACGGCTGCCGGGCAGCTCCTTCTATGGTGCAGGTGCAGGTATAGCTGGTGTCGTCAACCGCATTGCACCTGAACCGACCGCACGGGTTCATGCCAGACATATCCTGGTCGCCCCTGTAGCTGTTGCTGCTGCACGGGTCCCCCGGGACTGGAGAAGAAAAGACAGGGACGATGCATGTGAGGGAGGGAGGTGCATTGAGATGGAAGCTGCAAGGTTGTAACACAGAGGGAACCGGACTGCGACTGTGCAACTCAAGTCACCCTAGTAGGTGGGTACAAGGAAGGTAAGTACTAGTCGGTGTGTATGTTCCTCGCAGACTAGCCATCTTTAGTTAAAGTAAGACCAGAAGTTGGAATAAGTGTCTCACTCTTGACAATGGGGTAGATGCCAGGCAGCACGTTGATGCCACACACGCCATCCCCTCCCTGAATGTCCATGCGCATGTGGCCCCTGTCGCCCCACTCCTCTCCCCACGAGTTGCGGATGATCCAAAACGGCGGGGCAATGCGGTTCTGGCTGCCATCGTTTCTATTAATAAAGTAGCCTACAACGAGTACAACGTGGTTCAGATTGCCCGTGTAGCACTCAGGATCCTGGTACTTGAACGTCTGAAGAAAAAAAATAGAGGCAGACGCAAGGAGAGGTATAGTCACCTATGCTGGCATTGCATTGAAGTTCAAGCAGACCAAGTTAAAGCACGAGGGATTGCAATGAAGACATATGAATGAACAAATGTCAGTTTGCAAGTGAGTGTTGCAATTGCAGGGACTCACCCCGTCGTAGCTGACAAACGTGTCAGCAGAGGCTTCAATGTGAACCACAACTGGCTGCCGCCGCACTGCCAGCATGAGCCCCACATACCCCTTGAATGATGTGCGCTCAAATCCCTGGATGGGGTACTTTGTTGCCTGCAGATCAGATCAGATCAGACAAGAGCGCACAGGGGTTGTTGGGAGAAAAAAAAGATGCTGATAACTGCGTGTCAACATGGGCTGCACATGTCCCTCGAACTGCATGCATGTCGCTCAAATGCCAACACCTGCCTGCACTGCTCCTGCTTCTCATAAGGTGCTTCAACCTATCTGAACTTCTTAAAGCAGGAAAAACAAGGGATTGCATTCACCCTCATACCTCTATCTCAACTTCAAATGTTTTTGCATGCACTCTCATACCTCTACCTCACCTCACATCACTCATCAAACAACTCTAACCCTCCTCAACTTACCAATTCACTGACCCCAGTCAGCCCACTCCCAGCATCAAGAGAGACAGATTCTCCAAGGAAGCCGAGCATTTGTCTGGACCAGCAACTCAGATGGCTGGCTGTAAAGACTAGTCTCACTGCCTCCTGTATTTTGACATGACCCACAACTTACGGATTCACTGACCGAGGTGAGCCCACTGCCGGCATCAAGAGCAACGAGCTTTTCAAAGGCCTCGGTGGGTGAGCCTCCAGCGGAGCATTTGTCTTGATCAGCCAACCCCATGGCTGCAAAGAGCGGCTCCACTGACAGCTGGGGCGCGCTGTGATGCCTTGCAATGCCGTACGCTGCTTCTATGCTCGCCACCACCGCATACGCCCAGCACGCATCTGAGGAGAAGCAGTAAAAGAATGGTGGGTGGGGCATGTGATGCGGGTAAGGAGGAACGGCAAATTTACAAAGGTGCACGTGCACCGGTATCCAAAAACTTTTATTCTAAATTGCAACCACGATGTGCCACCCTCATTCCACGCCACTCACTGCAATTGGCCTGATCCTTGACGGGCCACCCGAGGAAGTCGATGGAGTTCCAAGTGTGGAAGTCACGGATGCGCCACGAGTCTTCATCGTTGGAGGCCAGTTCATAATCCGTGCTCACATATCGTAGAAAAGGGCTAGCTTTAGCTGGGGCGTATGTGACCGATGAGAGGGCGAGGCCGCGGGCTGGGTGAAGGGAGGGAGGTGTGGAAGAAGTACAGAGATGGCGGTTTTTCCTCAAATGTTGGTGTCAGAATTTCAGCTTCTAAACCGACAAAAGGGTTTGTTTTTGTAGCTGGTGACTGCGCCCAAACCCCCCCAGGGCTAACATGCCTGTAACCTCCTACGATCAAATGGGGATCCCCAGTGCAGGTCTCTTGACAACCCCCACACAGGGGGGCTCAGAACACGGCACAGCACATTCGACAGCATGTGCGTACACGTGGATTCAAACCCGAGACCTTTCGCTTAAATACCATGTCAGAATCCCAGCCACTAAACCGCTAGGATAAAAGAACTTGTTTGTGTAGTGGGTGAGTGCCCCTCAACCGCCCCCGGCTAACATGTCCGTAACCCCGCTAGGACCAATCGGGGATCCCTAGTGCAAGTCTTTCGACAGTTGGTTCTAATGGTCAATATCACGATTGTTTGTTGTGTGGGAGAAAGAGCAAGCTTTAGCTCACCTTGCTCTTTAATGCGGACTGACTTGAGTGGAAAAATGCCTGTGAGTGAGAATACACTCGCGAAACGAAGAAAGAAATAGCAAGAGAGAAAAGATGACGATCAGAAGAGAGCCACATGACTGGCCGGCAACAAAAAGACAAGATCGTTCAATCACGCTACCAAAGTCAACCATCAGTTCCGTCACCATCATCACTATCGCAACACCACCACCCACCATCCATGTATGGTAGATGCTTTCACCGTACAAATAACAGTCCCCATCCTCATCCCCATCCTCATCCCCATCCTCATCCCCATCCCCATCTCCCCATCCGCAACACCCCACTCTATCATCCCTTTCTGACCTGTTTGCATGGCAGAGCGCACAATGCCATGCAGCTGGAATGGCTTCATAGTAGTGGACGCCACAAAACCAAAGTAAAACGCGCCCTGCCGCACACCACCCTGAAGCACCGCACACAGAGACAAATCCTGCTGTAGCAACGGCTCCTCTGGCTTTGTCATGGACCCAGCTAGAAACACCCGCATGGTGCCGGGATCCCCAGGATACCCAGGCCCAGGTTCATAGTCCACCCATGCTGTGTATGCATTGCCATCTGTGAGTGTGTAAGGGGACACCTCAGCAACCAAGGATCGATCCAGGCCGTTGATATTGAGCCCCACGTGCTGCCGGCTCACATCGCTGTGGTTGCCGTTCTGAAACGTGTCAAACTCCACCGCTAGACTCCGTGCTCCCACCCCGCCATACCCCACGCCGTCTCCCCTCCCCACCTTGGCCTTTGCTGCGATTACAAACGCAAAGCCATTGGACCCAGTAATGCCAGACTCGGGAACGAGGGAGAAGGTGAAGTTGACTGAGAAAGCCAGCTCCACACCGCATCCCTGGGTGGTCTGGGACAGGCCGGGCGGGTATGCGAAGAGGGTGACTGGCCTTGCCATGAACTTCCCTGCTGTTTCGCGCTTGGTGCCCTTGGTGAGAATGGTGAAGGGCGGGAGAATGGCGCTGCTCACAGGAAGGGTGTTGATCCAGTCTGAAAGGACGTGCATGCGAAGGGGGCAAAGTGGGGGAAAAGGTGGGCAGCAGAAAGATGGCGTTTTGTTCCCATGCATGTGCTGCTACTTTGCTTGTGATGCCCATGCATCAGAAAAGAGCAGATCTATGTTTTCCTTTAGCGAAAGGTCGTATATACTTGTGTACCTTGAGTAGCGCAGGTGTTTCCTGGAAGCTGCAAAAACCCCGAGTCACACCACATGCACGTGGGCACCAAGCTAGGCCCGTCCGGGTAGCAAGTCCCATGGCCTTCACACGCTGATGTAGCGTTGGTGATGCCACAGCAGAACGCTGCACACTCCGCTGCTGGCCTCTGCAGCAGGTCAGCGCTGCACGCGTTGTTGAGGGTGAAGCAATTGGCGATGATGTTGTGTTGACTGCAGGTGGGGTCCAAGATAGCACCCGAGAGGTAGTTGTTTGCCAGGTCCATATTAAACTCTGAGATGATTTTCAGAGGACCTGTGAGGTAGTTGTGTGAGAGGTCACTGGAAAGGGGAGGGAAAGAGGAAAGGGAAGTGGAAGTGGTGGTGGGTTGGGGGCAGCAGGTATGCAAAAGGAATCTGAAGAGAAGATGATTATACGGATGTGAACTATTTCAAAAGGGGAATGAAGGAGGAGGAGGAGGAGGAGGAGGAGGAGGAGGAGGAGGAGGAGGAGGAGGAGGAGGAGGAGGAGGAGGAGGAGGAGGAGGAGGAGGAGGAGGAGGAGGAGGAGGTGGAGGAGGAGGAGGACGAGGAGGAGGAGGGGGAGCCCTGAGGCTCAAGCACTTGGACTCAAAAAAGAGTTAAGAAACGGTGTGCTTGCTCCCATATGGAATCTTGCATCCATATAAAGCAAGTCCCCATGGGTGTCTCTCAATGGTGGTGATGGAATGAGACGACTGTATTACTACATATGTTGCGCAGAGCAACGTTCAGATGTACCATTTGTTGAGCGCCGGTAGCTTGGAGAGTGACGCGGGTAAGGTGCCATACAGCTGGTTGTATGCGAGTGACCTGCTGCCATGGGCGTGGGACAGCAGGGGCACCTGGATTGGTTGGACTAGGCACGCTAGGCGTTCTGGAAAACACCCAGAAGGTCAGGAGACAAGGTGTGCGCGAGAACGAGAAAGCGATTGCAGTGAGGTGAGAAGCAGGGAAGGTTGTGGTTGCAGGCTCACAGGTAGAGCAGGCCAGTGAGGGTGCCTATGGTGTCAGGGATGGTTCCCGCTAGATGGTTGCTGTGCATCCGTCTGCAGGCGATAGGAAGGAAGATGGTGTGCCGAGTGCAGTTTAACCTTCGGCTTGAGAGTTAGGATTGGGTGAATCGCGAGGGGCGAGCTTGGCATAGATTGCGGTGTAGTGTGGTATTGCAGAAAAGATGCAAGTAAGTGTTACGCTGCTGCGAGAAACAATCGAAGGGCGAGCAACGTGAAAGCAAGGAAAAGTGAAAGGGAAAGAGAAGCAAAAGCAAAAACGATAACACAGTCTGCAAGAGCATGCATGTGTGCTGTGTGCATTCAATTTTACTGATAGAGGCCGTGGGAGTGAAGCTTTCACAAAGCCCATCGATCTCAATATACAACAGCTGCCATGCGTGATACATCACATCGCCATAACAAGTATGGATACATGAACAGCGTGGATGCTTGGAGGTATGGCATGCGGGGGTCAGGGCAGACGAACGTTGGTGAGCGAGGGAATGCACATGACACAGGACAGCTGTCCATGTAGCAGCGTGGGAAACAGCAACTCACAGCGACCAGAGCTTTGAGAGCTTGCTGACTGTGGAGGGAACAGGTCCCGAGAGCTTGTTCATGCTCAGCTCCCTGCACTCGTGCACACAGCAACGGAGAGAGGCAGAGATTTAGTGCACTGCACTGTACCGCACTGCACGCCACGCTCAGTAGCTGGCGGACGAAGGGCAGCGCGGTGGCAGTAGGGAAAGCAATGCGACAGTGGCTTGCTTGAGAGCACAACAGACACAATCCGGGTAGGGCTGGGCTGGGCTGGATGGAATGGGATGGGATGGGATGGGATGGGATGGGATGGGATGGGATGGGATGGGATGGAATGGAACGCCAAGGAGTGTGTGAGGATGCATGGAAGCGTCTTACAGCCACAGCAGATTCGTGAGTGTGGAGATGCTTTCCGGCAGGCCACCTTCCAACTCGTTCTTCTCAAGGTTTCTGCCGGATAGAGGGAGTAATAGTACGTACGTTGTGATGTGAGGCATGAATGGGGTCAGGCGGCGCATTGAAGATCAGCCATGCGTCATCCCATGAGTATGATATGCATAGTAATACTGACAGGCCACGGAGACTTCTCAAGCCGCTGATGGACGGAGGGATGGGGCCTGTCAAATGGTTGCTGCTAAGGTCCCTGCAGCAGAAAGCAGAGCACATGGGCGGGCGAGAGAGTGACGACACGGTGGGGAAAAACGAATCATGGAATGTAAAGATTTCTAGGAGTCAGGTGTGTTTTGAGTCGATTGAAGTGAACAGTCTAGCTTGTTTGATGTAACATTTGGAAGTTCTCAGAAGTAACTCAGAATACTGAAGGAATGGGATTGGACTGGGACGGAGAGGCAAAAAAAAAGGAGTGCTGAATGGAGTGGTTGAGCACGGAGTGAACCTAGTCATCTACAGCTGGGAGGTGCAGGTTCGGAGAGGAGGGGTGGAGATAGGGAAGAGTGGGCTTACAGGTATATCAGGTTTGTGAGGTTGCCGATTGAAGCAGGGATTGAGCCTGTGAGCTGATTGTCAGAAACCACCCTGTTGTTGCAATACACATGAATGGGGCATGCAATGGATACAGGCAGAGGCGCAGAGGGCTCAAGCTGTGATGGGCCAATGGCAGAATTATGGAAAAATATTGTTGGGATGTGGGCAGGCAGGCAGACAATAGCACACCCCAGCCAAGAACAACATCGCATCTCACATGAGCACTATAGCAGTCCTTGAGTGGCACTTCCCACAGTAACGGATGGACCGGGCTAGACAAGCAAGGCTCGTAAGCCAGTAAGCTACAGTGAGTCAAAGAGATCAGGGAAATATAGGGGCAGCCAAGGATGAAACGGAATAAAGAGGAGGGGCAGAGCAGAGCACGAATTGACCTGTCTTTGTCATATGGAAGTTAGTTGAGTGCAGAATGAAGCTATGAGGGCTTACAGGTTTGAAAGGCCTGTAAGATTGCCGATGGAAGTGGGAATTGAACCCGTGAGTTTATTCCTTTCAAGGGATCTGCAGGATGGGCAGACAATAACACGAGGTGATTTTGAGTTGGAGACAGAGGTGAGATTGGAGAGGAGTGGCAGAGAGAGAGGGGCAGGGACAGAGACAGGGGAAGCGCAGAAGAAAAGCAGAGCAGAGAGGTGACTTTGAGCCGACTCAAAAGAGAGCGAGTGCTCACAAGTGGTGCAGGTTTCTAAGGTCGCCGATTGCAGCGGGTATTGAACCCGTGAGCTGATTCTCATGCATGTACCTGAAAAGGGTGTGAATGAGGAGGGGTGCGAGGTGAGAGAAGGACCGGAGATTTTTATTCAAATAAAAGGGTAAGAGAAAGACTGATACCCAAATAAGTGCTTGGCAAAAAGAGGTGCGAGACGGTGAATCGGTGGAGGCCGGAGAGGGGTGTAGGGGGCCTTACAGGAAGACCAGATTTGTGAGGTTGCTGATTGCAGCGGGGATTGGGCCGCTGAGCTGATTGTTGAGCAGGTATCTGAGACATGATGACAACCGGGAGAAAGAAAGAACTGAACTGGGAGGACCTTCTCAGCTGAAAGGATTGGAAACGGCAGCAGTTGGGAGGAGCGGCAGCAGATCAGCACCAAGAGGAGACTCAACATTCCAACATACAGTTATGGACTTTAAAAGAGAGAGCAAAAGACTCATGATGGAAGACAAGTGTTGAAAAAAGAAGGGGGAAGAAGAAGGCGAACACAGAATGGAGAGGAGGGTTGAATGGGCAGCATGACAAGGAAAGCAGAGGGCAAACAGGCCTTTCATGTGTTGGGAGATGAGATGTACAGGCCGTTTAGTCTTGTGAGATTCCCGATTGCAGCTGAGATGGAGCCTGTGAGGTGATTGTCGGACAGCCCTCTGCCATGATGCGACTCATGCACATGAGGGCAGTCGGTGGGAAGACACAAAAGGTGAGGTAGAGCTCCTATCGAAAGGAAGAAACTACAGACAAAAACTGCCACACAAATTCTTCTGTTTAATTACTTAATATTGTTGAAGAATTAAGCAACACGTAGGCATTCAGAGGTCATTGTTGTTTCCAGTCCAGAACGTGTGGAGGCTATAGCACGGATGGGCAACTATGTTGCGGAAGACGCAAGACGCGTCTTGCGTCTAGCGTCTAGACGCAGCGTCTAGACGCTAGACGCAAGACGCACATTTAGACGCTAGACGCTTGGTCTAAAATTGTTTGGGCAGCCTGGAAAAAAAAAATATGGGAAAAAAGTTATGGTACGGGGAAAATTTCACCCAATTGTGACATATGTGCATGTCCCCCACCCTCCCCATGCCCAACAGAAGTTTTTTTAGGCTGCCCCAACCTTTTTTTGGCCTGCCTGGGCTTTCGTCTAAACCTGCGTCTAATCTGGCCTAAATTGCGTCCAGCGTCTTAGACGCTGCGTCTAGACGGACGCGTCTAAGACGCTAGACGCGTCTTCCGCAACGTAGATGGGCAAGGGGATTGACGGGAAAGACGGGGTTTAAGAGAATGAGGAGAAGGGTCATGGAAAAGTGCCTTACAGATATCCCAGGTTTGTTAGAGTGTACAGCGAGGAAGGGATTGAGCCTGAGAGCTGGTTTTCATTTAAATTTCTATTCCAAGGGAACGGACACAAACAGGGCATTCATGAGAGGAACGGAGAAACGTTAAGAGGGTCTGGGATTTAGAGAGTTGAGCTGGCATGGTTGAGAGAACACTGACATGACAAGTGGCAAGGGGAGACGGATTTGATTGGATAGGAGGGACAGGGTGGAGACTGGAGCGAGCAACAAAGCAGAGTAGCCAAGCAGTTCTGATCTGACTGGAGACGGCTTGTACAGTTGTGATGGGAGCGGCCTCACAGTTCTGTGAGCTTGCCCAGGTTGCTAATGGCAGCTGGTATTGACCCCGTGAACCTGTTGCTCGCGAAATTTCTGCCACGATGAACATGAATGGGGTATGTGATAGGCGGGGGGAGTGGGAATGGGTGGGGAAAGTGAGGACAGGAAATGTCGAGGATGAGTGAGGTGATGGGTGGGGAAGAAAAACCGACATCCATAATCTTCTATTCATTTTCATAGCACACCATGGTGCATGCATGAGACGAAACTGTTTGTGACCTCCAGCATTCGTACCATGCCATCTTAGCTCTCAATCAGGACTCCCGTGCTGTTCGCCTCTTCTCACCCCACGCATGCATACCATAACTCTCCCTGCTGCTCTGCCAGCACACCTCCCCATCAAGGCTTCTCATCACGTCCTTCGCTGCACGGTACACACTGTACCCACCCAGTTTTGAGACGTCTCAATACCCACCCCGAGACTTTGAGGCGCCTGAGCAGCCACGTAGTGACCAGAGCCCATCCTCCTCCCCTCCCTCCCACACAACTATCGCCTGCTGAAGCAACTCCCCAACCCCATTTCCCAGTGTTCCTCGCCTATCACTCCCCCCACCACCACACCTCTCAGCTCCCCTCTTCGTCTCTCCACTGTTCCGCACGCCGAATGCAAATATTGAGTGAACTGAAAGTACATCATGTTCCAAATGAGATCAGTGCA